AACAGTTTTGTGTGTGTGTGTGTGTGTGTGAACCTCCAAGATCATGCCATGTACAAGTAAGGCGAGTTTTACTTTCTCTTTCTAAGCTGAATGACTTCTTTTTCTTGCCTGGTATTCCTGGCTAACACCAGCAATGCAGGGTAGAAATGATCAGAGCACACATCCTCATTAGGTTGAAAGCTTTCAGTCTTCCAATGTTAACTATGATGTTAGCTGTGGTGTTTTTGTAGATGCCTTTTATCAGGATGGGGAAATTCTCTTCTCTTCCTAGTTTGCTAAATGTTTTATTCTGAAAAAGTGTTGAATTTTGTCAAATGCTTTTTTTTTTTCCCCTCCCTCAGTGAACATGATTCTTCAGGGCTTTTTTTTTCCTTTATTCTATTGACATGTTATATGCTGGATTGATTGAATTTCATATTTGAACCAAGCCTACAATCCTACTCTGTCATCCTTTTTATGTTTGCTGGATTCAGTGTCCCAGAATTTTGTTAAAGATTTTTGCATCTATATTCATAAGGAATGTTGTTCTGTGTTTCTTTTCTCTTGATATCTGGCTTTGCTACCAGGGTACTACTGGCTTCATGGAGTGAACTGGGAACTATTCCTTTCTCTTCTACCTTTTGGAAGAGTTTTGAAGGATTCAGGCTATTTTTTTTTAAATATCTGGTAGGAATTACAATGAAGCCATCTGGTCCTTGCCTGATTCTGTTTGTTTGCTTGTTTATTATGTCAAGCTCTGGTTATAAATCTTCTTGGACTTCCTGGACAGCTTCTTCTTTGGCCAGCTTTGGTGTTTCTATCTTTGTAGGATTTTGTCTGTTTCACCTCAGTTTTGTTGTTGTTGTTGTTGTGGTTGTTTTTTTGGCACACTGTTGTTCATAATATTCCTTTAATACCTCATTTCTGTGAGGAACATCACCATCACCCTCTTTCATTCCTGATTATAGTAATTTGAGTCTTCTCTCTTTTTTTCCACGGTCAGTTTAGCTAACAGTTTGTCGATTTCATTGATTTTTTTTAAACATTTTGTTTATTGAGAGAGAAAGAGAATGAGCAGAAGGGCAGGGGCAGAGAGAGAAGGAGAAACAGACTGCCCACAGAGCAGGGACCCGACCACAGGGCTCCATCCCAGGACCCTGGGATAACGACCTGAACCAAAGGCAGACTCTTTTTTTTTAATATTTTTTTTAAGATTTTATTTATTTAGTCATGAGAAACAGAGAGGAGAGAGAGACAGAGACACAGGCAGAGGGAGAAGCAGGCTCCATGCAGGGAGCCTGACGTGGGACTCGATCCTGGGTCTCCAGGATCACGCCGTGGGCTGAAGGCGGCACTAAACCCCTGAGCCACCCGGGCTGCCCCAAAGGCAGACTCTTAACTGGCTGAGCCACCCAGACACCCCATTGATCTTTCTAAAGAACCAACTTTTAGTTTCATTGATTCTCTTTTTTTAAAAAATTTCTATTTTATTCCACTTTAATCTTGGTTATTTCTTTCTTCTGCTTTCTTTAGGCTCAACTTGCTCTTTTTGTTTGTTTCTTAAGGAGGAAGTTTAGGTCATTGATTTAAGATCTTTCCTTTTTTTAATATGGTCATTTATAGCTATAAATTTCTAAGCACTGTTTAGTGTTTTTCCTGCATCCCATAAGTTTTGATATGTTGTATTTTCATTTTCATTCATTTCAAAGGATTTTCTAATTTCACTAATGATTTCTTTTTTGCCCTGTTGGCTATTTAGGAGCATGTTGTTTAATTTCCACGTATTTGTGAACTTCCAGTTTTCCTTCTGTTACTAAGTTGCAAGTTCTTTCTGTTGCAGAGCCTTGTAGGACATGCTTCACATGATTTAAATCCTTCTAAATGGGGGATCCCTGAGTGGTTCAGTGGTTTAATGCCTGCTTTCAGCCCAAAGCAAGATCTTGGAGTCTCAGGATCGAGTCCCATGTCAGGCTCCCTACATGGAGCCTGTGTCTCCCTCTGTCTATGTCTCTGCCTCTTTCTCTCTGTGTCTCTCATGAATAAATAAGTAAAATCTTAAAAAAAAATCCTTCTAGATGTATTGATGCTTGTTTTATGACCTACCATGTTGTTTGTCCCGAAGAATGCTTTATGTGAACTTGAGAAGAATATGTATCCTTCTTGAATGTATATGTTAATGTTTTTCATCAGGTTTGGGAACTTTTTGAATATGAGTTCTTCGAAATATTCTTCCTGACTTTTTCCCCTTTTTATTTCTGCTTCTGAGATGAGATCATCTCAGCTGGCCTCTCTTCAAGGTCATTGATTTCTTCTTCCTGCTCAAATCTGCTTTTGAGCCTCAAGAGTGAATTTCTCATTTTAGATATTTTACTTTTCAACTCCAGAATTTCTCTTGGTTCTTTTTTAATGGTTTTTACTTTTTTGTTGATACTCCCTGATGAGAAACCATCCTCTTACTTCTCTTTAATTTTTTAGACATTTTGAAAACTCCTTTGTGAATATTGTAAAACAGCTGATTTACAGTCTTTGTCCAGAGGCCTCTGGCTGGCTCAGTCAGAAGAGCATGCTACTCTTGATCTCAAGATTATGAATTTGAGCCCCATGTTGGGTATAGAGATTATTAAAATGAATAAACAAACAATCAAACTCTAAAAGAATAATAAAAAATAAGTTGTTTTTACATCTGGTAAGTCCAATGTTTGGAATTCCTCAGAGATAGTTTCTATAGACTGATTTTTTTTTCCCCTCTGTATGGGCCATACTTTGTTTCTTTGTATGTCTTATAATTTATTGTTATTGGAAACTGGGCATTTGAAATAATCTGACAATGCTAGAAATCAAATCTTTGTCCCTTCCCAGGGTTGCTTCTTGCTGCTATTTATTGTTTTTGTTTAGTGAGTTTTCTCAGATAATTCTGTAAAACCTGTATCTTCATTGTGTGTGGCTGCTGAAATATTTGCTAGGTTCTTTTAAGGCCATCTAATAATTGCACAGAGATTTCCTTAGATGCCTGGATCAAATTAAGTTTTCCAGTTTTTGCCAATAAGTTCTGCATGTGTTTGGGGGCATGTCTTTAACCCTGAGGCAGACAGTTTACAAATGTACTTTAGTCTTTACCTGGGTGTTCAATCCCCCAACATTAGGCAGAGATGAAAGCTTAGGGCATTCTCAAATCTTTACCGAGCATGCAAATATCGGTGGGCACATCCCTATGCATACTTATGGTCTTTTAGATTCCCAAATATGTGAGAACTTCTCAAAACCCTCTATAAGGGATCCCTGGGTGGCGCAGCGGTTTAGCGCCTGTCTTTGGCCCAGGGCGTGATCCTGGAGACCCGGGATCGAATCCCACGTCGGGCTCCCGGTGCATGGAGCCTGCTTCTCCCTCTGCCTATGTCTCTGCCTCTCTCTCTCTCTCTGACTATCATAAATAAAAATTTTAAAAAAAAACCTTCTATAAATAACCCATTTCCCCAATTTTTCCTTTTAACTGGTCAGTTTATTGTTTGTCTCAACTGTTATCCACCACCTTGGACAGTGTGATGCTCAACAGTTGCCTCTGATTGTTTTCAACAAATGCCCCTAAGGAAAAGGCTATTCACACTGGTTGAGCTCTGATTTGTGAAAAATAAAGACAGCCTTGAAAGTGGACTCGTCCAGGAAATCTCTGAGAATGGACTTGGAAGGAGCTCCAGTCCTGCCCCCGATGGACACCAGGATGTTGGTTTTCAAGGCTACTCCAGAGCTGGTCTAAAGGAATAGGAAATAGAGCAAGTTAAAACTCCACAAAGCTCACTCTTCTCACTGAGATCAAGCCAATATTTTTAAAGTTTTTTTTAAGATTTTATTTATTCATGAGAGACAGAGAGAGAGAATGAGAGAGAGAGAGAGAGAGAGAGGCAGAGACATAGGCAGAAGTAGAAGCAGGCTCCATGCAGGGAGCCCGATGTGGGACTTGATCCTGGGACTCCAGGATCATACCCTCGGCTGAAGGCGGCGCTAAACTGCTGAGCCACCCAGGCTGCCCTCAAGCCAATATTCTTAAGTAAACTCAGCCAGTTTTACTACACACCTTTGGTTAATTTCCAGAATTCTGAAAAAGGCTGATTCTGACCATTTTTTGCCAGTGTTCTCATTGCTTTTGTGGAGGAGAGAATCCTCAGAAGTCTGTCTTCCACTACTTGATTGACATGACAAAAGCTAATTTTGAGTCTGAATGTATACACTGTACTCAGTGGCTAGTTAAGGACACTACACTTGCACTCAGTGGCTTAGTGAAGCCACTTTTCCTTGGTTAATTTATTTGTGGATTCTGTTGGTAGGGGCCAGTGAGGTAACACCTGCCAGCCAGGGACACCTGCATTTTAGTCTTATATCTGCAACAAGCTGAGTATATGACCTGGGAACAAAAGAGCTGAGATTTCCAGAGTACCAACTATGTGCTGCAGTGTGTGCCGAGCTTTTTATGTACGTGTATCGTGTCATTCTTGCAACAGCCAAGAGAGAGAAAATGTTTGTGTTTAACAGATGAAGAAATCACTAAAATGCAAAGTGCTTATAGCACTGTGCCTGCTCGCACAGCAAATATTCCATACAGTGATTATGGCATTGCTGTTAAACAACAGTTACTGTCAGAGGAGGAAGTGGAGTTGATGGGATTGCTCAAGATCATTTGAACACCAACCCAGGTCTGTCTGATTACGGAGCCCACCCATGTTTCATATCCTCACCCCAACTCTCCTGGGCAAATCCATTCCTGCTCTGGGTCTTGCTTTCCTTATTCTGACAAATGAAGGATCTGGACTGATAAAAGTTATTCAGTCAGCAGACCCTGGATTGTCTTGTTTAAATCATTTCCAGGGTGACATTATGGAGGTGTGTGATTCCAAGTTCAAGTGCTCAGAGCCACATTAGTAGCATTGTCTTGTTTGGCTTGAAAAAATGAACAGGTAGACAGGCCAGTGTATAACCCAGTATGTGTTTCTCTCCTTCCCCTCGGGCTCCACCCCATCCCACTGCAGAGGCAAGAGGGGACAAAGCCAAGTGGGTGTTCACCTGGCCACTCATCTTCCTCCTGTGCATCACCATCCCCAACTGCAGCAAGCCCCGCTGGGAGAAGTACTTCATGGTCACGTTCATCACAGCCACACTGTGGATCGCTGTCTTCTCCTACCTAATGGTGTGGCTGGTGAGTGGTGGAAGCAGGGTGGTTTGTGCAGCCAGCCCCCACCCAGCAGCTGCTGGAGGTGGGAGAGCTGGATTCAAGAACGGCCTCAGGCACAGGTGGTGCTGTGCCACCTGTAGCAAGTCGCCTACCTTCACAGATGTTGGCTTATTTCTCAGGGAAAGGGGTTTCAGCAGAGGTGTGTGGGGCTGTGTAGGCACAGGGGATATGCGAGTAGACACAGCATGGCACTTGCCTTCCGGGCAAGAGTGGGGCAGGAGACGAGATTCTGAGACATGCAGCTCAGGTGTGATGGAAAGAGGACCATGGCAGGGTGATGGGGATGCTTTGTGAAGGTCTCTGCAGGGCTAGTCGCTCATTCCCCTTCCTTTCCAGGGTCCTTGGGGAATGCAGGGGGAGACTGGAGTCAATGGGAGAGGAACACAGGCAGCCCTCATGTAACCCCTGCCAGTAAACTCTTTTAGCCCTCATAACACCCATTCTACAGATTCCTCAAACTGAGGCATCCATTCAGATTGAGCAATTGGCCCAATTGCCCAGTCATCAGCTATTATACCATTAGTTACATAATCAGTAGGTTCTAGAGCTGGGCTCCTGAGTCCATGATCGCAACCACTCTCCTGAACTGCCCTTCAGTTTCTTACTGGAGTTTTCAGACACCATTTGGACCAAAGTTTTACAGATGGAGAGGCACTGGCTTGGCTCTGTGGAAGCTCCTCTGGCCACGTGTGACAGCCCCCGTACAGAGCCTGAGCTGGCTGGAGAGGTGCCAAGCAGGAGCCCGAGGCCTCACTCCATGTCCCACCATGTGGGCCCCTCCCTCGCCCTCCCACGTGGGGCACCCAGGGACGGGGAGAAACCGTGACAGGCACCTGTGCTTCTTTCATAAGGCTTGCCCGTCAGCAGCCTCCAGCTTCATTGTGAGCGAGTGGACGTCTCAGTCCTCCTGACGCCTGGTGCGGGCAGTGAGTCTCTGTGTGAGAAGCATGGGCCCGCCTGTCCCTTAGCCCCAGGGGAGCAGTCTGGTGGGAGAGAGTGATGTGGGGTCCCGTGGAGATGCACTTGGAGCCTAGATCTCCCACTTACAGTCTGAGACCTTGGCAGCTTCCATGAGCCATGTCACCACCTCCCCACGAAAGGGGGATGAGCATCAGGATGCTGGAGGAGTTGAAAATAGCTACTATCCAAACCCCCAAGAAAAGGAGGACAATCAAGGATCATGGGAACAATGCCTTATGTGAATCATTCTTATAAATTCACATTTTTCTGAGTAATGTTAACCCCAGCCTGTCTCTATATGTGATAAAACGATCCAGTGATTTCTCTTACTAAAGTGCTTTCCCACATAAGATGAGTGCTGGGTGTTATACTCTATGTTGGCAAATTGAATTCAATAAAATGAAAAAGTGCATTCCCCAAAACACTGCAAGGGGGGAAAAAAGTATTATTTCATGACGTTTGAGGAGGGATGAGGATTAGGGAAGATCAAATTAATGAAGTGGTGAGACTTCTTCTCTGATTACGGAAAACAACAATATTAGGACATCCACTTCATGGTGAACACCCACAGCCCCGCCACTCTGGCTGTGCTCCCCGGAGCAGTCATGGCACAGCACAGCGGGGCCCAGGGACCACTCTGCTGGGGCACCCTTCCTGAGGCTTCGAACCTCATCCGCCTCAGTGTTAGGGGAACAGAACGAGCCTCACAGGAGAAGTTGGTCCAGACAGCAGCACCCCGTGGCAGCTGTCCCTTCTACTGAAGCAAGATGTGCTGGCTAGAGGGCACTGTGCTCACTCCCTCATGCCCCGACGGGGGCTGCCAAGGGGGGGCAGCGAGTTCCCACCTGTTTCTCCTGCCAGCTTTTATGGCTCTCCTGCCTCAGGTTCCAGGGAAAACGATCCTTGTATGTCAGGGTGAAGAGACAGGAACCTTTGACAACGGCGTTCTGTCTAGCACCTTTGCACCACTGGGAAAACTGAAGACCAGAGGGGAGCCATGGCCTCCAGAAGGTGCACAGAGTCAGCCTGGGGCTGGGCTCTGCCTCCCTCTCTGAGGCCTAAGTATCAGCTGGGCTTACGGGGCCCAGGGCTGGAGACCAGGCGGTGCAACACTCGGGCAGCCTCCCAAGTCCAAAGCACCCTGGGGGGGCACATAGTCACACACAAATGCATGCAAACACATGCATACACACACGCATATGCACACACATGCATACGCATGCACATATACATGTGCACGCATATGCACACATACACATGTACCCACATGCACAAACGCATACACGTGCACACATACACACATATGAATACACATGCATATATGCACGCATGCACAACATAATGCACACATGCATGCACACACATACACGCGCACATATATGCACATACACACGCGCACACACATGCAAAACCTTCCTTTGATTCTTCCATCCTCCAGCTTCTTAGCCTTGTAGTTCGGTGACTTAGGGGGGAAATGGCAGCAACCCCAATAATGCCAAAACAACCCAGGACATGCGGCATCCCCCACTGGAAGCATGGCGGCCACAGCTCAGTTGTGCTTGTGGAGATGTCGTTCAGGGCCTGGGCGATCTGAACGTTGAGGGCTCAGTGGTTCGTGTCCCCTCCCATGCCTGTGCTGCCCCCACCAGGGTCGCTTCTTGCAGAGACCATGGCGGGCCTGTGTGCACCTGGCACCTGCAGCCGCTGCACTGAGCACTGCCTGCCAGGGGGCCCTGGGACCGGGAGTGTTTCTGTCCACAGGCTCTGGCTATGGGCCAGGCCGAACTCTGCTCAGAGCATGCTCCACCGGGGCCTCCCTGAGCTCGTGAATCTGAACACCCCCACACTTTCTGCCCCCATGGATCGTAAGACCAAGGCCCCAAGAGAAGGAAGGCCTGCATCTGCTAACGTCTCACATACGTCAGGCACTGTCCCCTCACATTTTCTCATTTAGTCTTTATTAACAAACCCATTTCACATATGAGGAAACTGAGGCTTAGAGAAGCAAACCAGCTTGTTCTAAATCACACGACCATTCGCTGGGATTGGAGCTTTCAGTAAAAATGTGAACAACCCTAAGAGGTGCCACTGTTCCCATTGTATAGACGAGGAGGCAAGCCAGAGCTAGTGAGTATTTTTTTTTAATTTTTATTTATTTATCCATGAGAGACATGGAGAGCAGCAGAGACACAGCAGAGAGAGAAGCAGGCTCCCCATAGGGAGCCCAATGCGGGACTGGATCCCAGGACTCCGGGGTCACGCCCTGCGCCAAAGGCAGATGCTCAACCACGCAGCCACCCAGGCATCCCACTAATGAGTATTTTGAATAGAGTTAACCACATGCTTCTAGGGCTTTCCATCTGGCTGCTACCCAGGGCCCAGCTATGTCTAAAGTGTTGGGCGTTTATCAGCAGAGGGTATGACAGTCATCAGTATCCTTAAATCCGTCCATCCGGCCGTTCTATTTCTCAGAGCTCATCCTAAGGAAGCAGTAAGATATAAGAACCCAAGGAGCTACATGAGGTTGAGGTAGGAGCATGACCTTTAGAGTCAGAAAGACCTGGCCCACAATCCCCGATCATCTGCTCACCAGGTTCGTGCTCACAGGCAGAGTTGCTTAAGCTCTCTGAGCCTCAGTTTCCCTGGGTGTAAAATGAGTGTAACTGCAGTGCCCCCTCACCGGTGGGTGGTGATAATAAAGCACCTGAGGTTGCATGTGCGGCTCACCTGTAGAACCCCTGGTATACAGTCAGTGCTCAGGAAATACTGCCCATGCAGTGAGGTCATAAGAGCACAGAGAGATCTCCTCAGTGTCCAGTGGTGAGGGATTGGCCTAGACTCTACCACTCAGTGAAAGGTGTGCATCCATTTAAAGTAGTGTCATAGGTGACGACATAGGTGGACGGGTGTCCACAGTATGTCGTTGTATGAAGCACATAGCTGCAAAGTATATGTTGTAAGTATAATCTGGTTCTGTTTTCTTCTAACACACCAAAAAATGGCCAAGGCTGCATCCTAAAGTGACAGTTTTCAAGTGTGGTTTCCCAGACCCGTCGCCGGACAGTCCCAGCCACCTGGTGACTGGATAGGAGCATAAACTCTGGGGCATCACCACAGCCGTCCTGAATCAGAACCTGGTGGGAGGGACTGGGGCCCACAGCCCACACTGTCACCAGGCCACCAGAGGATTCTCCACATGCACAAGTTTGAGAACCCTTGGCCAACGAAAAGTGGTGACAGTGGTCGTCTGTCGGTCTTGTTTTCAGTTTATGTCACTTTCTAATTGTTATTAAACAGCAACACCACGTTCAAGTTAGAAACACTCGGAGTACACAGGAGTTCTAGGTGTTTCTCCGCAAGCTCATGTCCCTCCTAACTCTTCGGCAGGTGACCATCATTGGGTACACACTGGGAATCCCCGATGTCATCATGGGCATTACGTTCCTGGCAGCAGGCACGAGCGTCCCGGACTGCATGGCCAGCTTAATCGTGGCAAGACAAGGTAAGAATGGCATCTTGGCCCCTCCAGCCATGAGCCTCACCATGCGGGCCCCTCGGCCCCTGCCCAACCCATAGTTTGTGGCTCTCCTGACCAGTGGCTGTGAGCTCACCAATGACGGGAGAGCATCAGGGTCAAATTCCACCGTGGAGAGGGTTCTACCAAGATGAACACCTGCAGACCCTAGAAGCCCTAAGTCTGGGCTCACGCAGGCTCAGATCAAATGAACTTATTCTGAAATCACCAGTGTGACATTGAACAAAGCTGAGCTGTGACCTCTTACAACAAATACAGTGGTAATGAGGCATGTTCAGCACCCAGGAGGGCAAAATGGGGAGGGTATCTTGTCCCCCCAACTGTTTTCCTAAAGTTCTAGAACATGTAAATGGGTTTGGTGGCTTGGTTGGTTGTTTGGTTGGTTGTTTGGTTATGGGTTTTGTTTGGGGTTCACTCCATGACACGGGCTAATAAGCAAGGTCAGGAGAACCCGTGTGCTCTTCAAGGGAAGACCAAAGACCATCAAGGGCTGCCCTTCACTTACTGTGGTGTTTCTGCTGGTGAGGTAACCCCGTGTAGACCTCCGCAGATGAACATGCAAAAGTATGGGGGTGGGGGCTGCGGTCCCGTCATAGAATGACGCTCAAGGAAGGTGGGAGAGGAAAGAGCTACCCAAGGGAAAGTTGGCTCTGGAAAGCGAGGAATGACATTTTATTCCTCCAAGTTTGGAGAAAGGGTTGATTTGGAAGGGGCGGGGCGACAGCTGGTCCCGAGAAGGCATGAGGGGAGAGACATGTAGGCATGTGGTTGGCCTAGGCTGGAAGCTTGCAGGGAGTAGGGGCAGGGAGGGGAACGGGGTTTAATCGACTGACCTCTAAGGTGAGTGTATCCGAATCCCGGGGCCGTCGTAACAGAACTACCATGACTGGGTGGTTTAGGACAAGAGCTGGTCGTCGCAGGGTTCTGGAGACAAGTCCAAACTCGAGGTGGCGACCGGGCCGTGCTCCATCCAGAGGCTGTAGGCAGGGGTGTGCTCTGGGTCTACATCACGGTCATGTCTGCCTCTGTCCACACGGGGTGTTCTTCCCTCTGCAAGGACACCGGCTGCTGCGCTAGGGCCCACCCTAACTCCATGTGACCCCGTGTTCACTGGACTGCATCTGCAGAGACCCTATTTGTGAGTAGGGTCCCGGGCACAGGTGCGAGGTAGCACAAGCTGTGGGGAGGGGCGCTGAGCAAGCGGCTCAGCGGGGACTGGGAAAGCAGCTGGGCACTGAGGGCCTGGCCAATGTGCCGTGGCGTGACCTTGGCCACGGGGATTCAGTCGTGCCAGCTCCAATGAGACACGCAGAGAGAGGACAGGTTTGCCCAGAGCTCGGGCTGCTGGGTAGGTCCGGGGAAGGCCAAGGGGGCTGGAGAATGTGCAGTTGAAACAGCCGAGCCCGGAGTCCATGGGGTCGGGGCTGAGGGGACGATACCAGCAGGCTGGGGGCCTGGGGGGGTGAGATCAAGAAGGGGCTCCATCTGACACAGGGCTACATGGGGTTCTGAGGGGGACGTCCTGTCAGAGCGACTCCTGGGGAAAGTGAGCAGGGGCGAGACACAGGGGGCAACCATCAGGGAAGTGACCGTGGTGTCCCCGGCTGGACCCCCACACACATGATCAAGGCCGGAACAGTTCCCTCATGGCCAAGAGGACAGAACCCCTGCCCAAACCTGCTCAGTCGGAGTCTGCATTTAGCCAGGACCCCAAGGGAGTCCTATGCAGCTGAAGTTTGAGAAGCGGTGCCCTGTGTGGAGAGTGGGTGGCGGCAGGGGGGTGGTGCATCCACCAAACCCAGGAACCCTCATGTCTCCTGTGAGCTTCGGGTGTAGGTGTATGTCCTGACTCACCATGTGAGCACTGCATCCTCCCCAGAGGCGGCCCACATCCCTGTGACGGCCCAGCGGCCCCAACACGGAGAGCCCGGCCCCTCAGAGTGAGCGCCCCAACAGCAGCAAGCAGCCAGAGTCGCAGGTCACTCAGGAAGGAGGAACCTGAGGCCGTGGGGGAGGCCCGCAGGCAGGCAACAGCCACAGGGCAGCAGGAGGGGCTGACCCAGCGGACCCCAGCAGGCCAGGGAGTCAGCGTCCAGCCTGGTGGCTGCAAGCACCTCAGGGACCAGAGTACCCCATGGCTGCAGACGTTTGTGTTGCACACACACTCATCCCACACAGGTTTGTGAGCGCCAGGTGCTGACAGCGTGTCACAGGACAGCCAGGGGGCCAGGCAGGAGCACAGGTCCGCCAGCATGAGTCGTCTTTGTGAATATTTATTGTCTGACTTTGTACCGCCCCTCGAGGTGTCAAGTACTTCAGTGACATGGCTGCCCTTATCCTGGCCAGTCAGGCAGGACGCCAGGGCCGCTCAGCCACTGCGTGACCTTGGGCTTGTCCCATGCCTCGGATCCATCGTGTGCCACACGAGGACAGTGCCCCTCCTCCGGGGTAACCGGGAAGCACCCAGTGGGTCCTTGCAGAACATCAGCCCCAGACCCTGCAGGAGGAAAAGTGAGGGCCTGAGTCCGTCTCCAGGGCCACCATGCTCTGGGACGCGGAACCTATGGGCCCGGGCGGTCTCATGGGCAGGGAAGCTGGAAGCCCAAGGCGAGGTGTTGGCCAGTTGGCTCCTCCTGAGGCCTGTGGGGAGAGTCTTCTCCAGGCCTGTCTCCTTAGCTTGCCAGTGGCCATCTTCTTGTTCCCTTGGGGCTCTGTCCATGTGTCCCCCTTGTAAGAACGCCAGTCATCCTGGGTTAGGGTTGACCCTAATGACTCATTCTAACCTGATTTTCCCTGTAAAGACATCAGTACCAAACAATGCCACACTCTGAGCTATTGGGGGTCAGGGCTCCAACATAGGAATCTTGAGGGTTAGGGCACTGGGGGGTCTGTGGGTGAAGCACCTGCTCACATCATGATCCCGGGTCCTGGGATCGAGCCCCATATGGGGCTCCCTGCTCAGCAGGGTGTCTGTCTCTCCCTCTCCCTCCGCCCCTCCCCACCGTCCATACTCTCCTTCTTTCTCTTGCTCTCTCTTTCCATCCAGTAAAATCTTAAAAAAAAAAATCTTAAAGGTTATGACTGAGCCTCTGGGAGGCCCTGAGACTTCACAAGAGGTTTCTGAAGTATGGGGTACACGAAGAAGGAAGTCCTCTGTGGAGAGCAGCGCCAGTGGGACACTAGTAGGGTCTCTGAAACCTAGTCTTGTGATTGACATGTGTCAACTGTCCGCCCTAGGCCTTGGTGACATGGCGGTGTCCAACACCATAGGAAGCAACGTTTTCGACATCCTGGTGGGACTCGGCATACCATGGGGCCTGCAGACCATGGTCATTAACTACGGGTCCACGGTGAGTTCCTCACGCCTCCTGAGCGACATGCATGCCAGACATGCGCTCTGTGGGTTTGGCTGCTGGGCCTGTGCCAGCAGTGAGCTCCAGGGGGACACATGGTCCTCAGCTCCCCAGCTCCCTGGCTCCCGGGCTTCCGCCTCCCACGAAGGCCTTGGAACAGTCTGGGGCGGCTGCAGGGGGAGCCCCTGTGTGCAGCCCCCACACCTCAGCCCACAGGCATGCGTCTTTCTCATCCACTTTGCTCACTGGCCGAGTCAGGACTGACCTCCCTGCTCTGCCCAGCCCCCCACCCAGGGGAGCACCCACCCGTGCTTTCCAGGCCTAGAAGGGCCACACTGGGGGCTCTAGGCTCTGAGAACACTGCCCCCTCCCCTACAACGCCCCGACCCCCTCCCATGGATCCCCTCCCCATCCCCAGGCCCTGCATCTCCCCACCCCCACCTCCTGCATCCCCTCTCCCACCCTCACCCCTGCATTGCCCCCACCCCCACCCCAAGCAGCACAGAGATTCAGAGCTCCTGTGTTTATCTCTCCAGGTAAAGATCAACAGCCGGGGCCTGGTCTACTCGGTGGTGTTGCTGCTGGGCTCTGTCGCCCTCACTGTGAGTCTTGATGGTTCCAGAATTGGAATCCTTTCTTCTGATCCCATATAGTCACTTGCAGGGTCTCTGACACACACACACACACACACACACACACAGCGGCAACGAGGGTTAAAACGGAGAAACACAAGTTCTTGGATCCCTCCAGACACAATTCGTGCCAAGAGTGTCGGCACCGACCCGTCCATTGTTCCCTGAGTGGCTAAAAACCCACTGGAGCAACTGGACTACGTGTGCCTGTGTCCCCACTGCCCTGTCCGCCTCCCCTCACCAGCTCTGGGTGGGGGAGAGATTCCTCCCCTGACTGGCAGGCCTCAAGCCAGGCCAGCACCGCAGAGCTGGATCCTCAGGCTGCCCTACTCCACGCGCCCGGAGCCTCTGCGTGTTTCCTGCAACCCTTATGGCCCCCGGTGAGGCCATTCCCATTGTGCACAGGAGATCAAGACTTGGGGGGGCAGTAGCTTGCCCAGAATCACAGGGCAGGAAATGGCAGCGCTGTGATTGGAACTCAGAGCCACTGTCTGCACAGAACCGGTGGTGCTGCGTGGTTGGGGTTAACGGTGGTCCAACCCCAGGAAGTCTCCATTCGGGGGTGAGAAAGGCAGGCATGAAGTACAGGAGAGTCTAGAAGGAATGTAGAGTGAGGGTGTGCTCCAAGCCCGTCTACACACACACACACACACACACAGACACACACACCCACACACAGAAGAAGGGGGTCCAGGGACGCCTGGGGGCTCAGCGGTCGAGCGCCTGCCTTCGGCTCAGGACGTGACCTTGGGGTCCCAGAATAGAGTCCCCCATCAGGCTCCCCCAGGGAGCCTGCTTCTCTCTCTGCCTGTGTCTCATAAATAAAATAAAGAAGAAGGAGGAGGAGGAGGAGGAGGAGGTCCAAGCTGAAGTGTGCCGGGCTGTGAGCCAGAGAATACCGTGGGAGTTTTGCCTGAGAGGTTGGAGGACACCAGGCTCTGCAGCCAGGGGAGGGCTGGGGCAGGTCCCTGTTGTCGCGAGAGGAAGTCCTGGCCTTGAGGACTGGGGCGCCAGAAGTGCTCCCATGGGGGCAGCAGCCATGTGTCCTGGGGCCAGGGCTCGCCTGCCATCAGCAGGCGTGGAAGCCCAAAGGGTCCCAGTGACCAGGCTCACCGCCTGCCGGCAAGCACCACCCCACCCAGGAGAGCCTCCGCGTTCCTGCGTCCCCGCGCCCCGAGGCCAAGCCCCATGCTCTGTCCCCGCAGGTCCTCGGCATCCACGTGAACAAGTGGAGGCTCGACCGGAAGCTGGGCATGTGTGTGCTGGCCCTGTACGCCGTCTTCCTCTGCTTCTCCATCATGATCGAGTTTAACGTCTTCACCTTCGTCAACTTGCCCATGTGCCGAGAGGATGATTAGGGCCGAGCCACCCTGAGCTGCCCTGGGCCCCGATGACCTCCCTTCCACCCGCCCCAGCGTGAGTGTCTCCTGCCTCCGTGGTCCCGGCCGCTCTTCACGCGCAGACGGAAGAGCCATGGTGGTCGCCGACTGGGCGCGAGCCGGGGCCTCCTCCCCCTCCTCGTCCTCTTCGTCGTCCTCCTCCTCCGTGTCCTCGGAGCCCTGCCCTCCCCACACAAGCAAGTTTCGGGGCTGCCGTCTGAGCATCCTGGCAGGTCCCTGAGCTGGCGGGCCCGGGGAGGCCCCTCGTGACACGTCAGTGAGGACTTCCTGTCACTGGGTGGCCATCGGAGCTTGTGAGGTCCCGGGGCAGGTGCAAAGTGGGAATGTGGTTCCGCAGCGTCGCCCCCAGGCTGGCGGGTAGGGGTCCCTTAGACCGCGTGTCCTTCGTGGACCCTCCTGCCTCTGACCTCGGCAGGCAGCGCTGGGCCTCAACCTGCAGGCGAGAGGGCCCAAGGGCACAACACTCCACCCCTTTCTCTGGAGAAACTAAAATGCAAATAGCGTCTCACAGCAGGAAAGAGAGAGCTTTCTCACCACTTTCATCAAGGCGTTCAGAGAATGAACGGTGAAATGTTAAAAATAAAATGTCCTGGAGATCATCATACTTGAAAAAGAATCATCCCAAATGGAAAGGCTACGCTGGGCACCGAAGAAGAGCCCTCTTGGACACAAAATCCCACGTGTATCGTCGCGTTGCTCTGACGCTGAGCTACTGGTTTGGGATCTAGGAGAGCCTGTGCAACTCTCCCTGGATGCTAATTCAGGGACACGGTGGGGGTGGCAGGTGACAGCCGTCCCAGCCCTTCCCTGGGAGGCGGTGCAGTGTCCTGTGGGGCCTGTCTTTCCTCTATTAAACGCTGTCCTCTCTAAACCACTGTTGTGAGGCCCAGTTGTCCCAGTACCCAGCAGTGTTGTGGCCTGCCGGACTGACTGCAGGCCACAGGGTCGTGGTGGACGTTGAGAGGAGATGTTTCCTGAAAGGCAAACAGCTGCTCTCTGTTACCTGGAGGCGGGTCTGAAAACTGGAACTTGGCACTTTTAGAGCTAAACTTCTCGAGCCTTAGAGTTGGCTCCAGGTGAAGAGCCCAGGATGGGAGGCAGAGTCAAAAAAGAGAGAGAAAAATATCCAACAATTTTTCACCTGCTTCGTAGCTCTCAAATCAATATTAAAGAGATTTATGAACACAAACCATCCGTGGTTTCTAAAAAAGGAAGCACAATTAGTTTTATATAGAGGTGGGGTTTTTTAATTTTTTAAATATTTCTATTGCAAAAGTCTATTGGATTTGATGCACTTTTAATAACTGGGATATTTTGCACAGAAGAATGTACGGGAGAAGCCCCAGGTAGTGTGAGGGAAGAGGGTGTTGGCGGATTGGCTGGTCATGAGTGGTGTGTGAGGAGCAGGAATGCAGTCGCTTTTTCCTTCCTGAAACAAAGGTCGTGACCCGAGGTGGGATGCAGGCTGCGCTTGCCGAGGGCCTCCTGAATTCAGAAGGAGGAAGTGATCGCATCCGCATCCGAGGCAGGCGGCCTGGTCACCAGGCTTCCGCTCGGGGTCCACGTCAGTGTTAGTGGCTCCACCGCACGGAGGCCCCTCTTGTTTCTCTATCTGGACCAAGCTCAGTGGTCCCCCAGGTGGAAGCAGAGGTGATGTTCCTGAGAAATCAGCGAGGTGAGCGGGAGGCCAGGCCACCAGTGGGGCCGTCAGTGCAGAGTGGACACACGGGGACATCAGAGCCCGGGCCTCGGCCTGGTCTCCCAAGCCCACCGGGGTTCCAAGCTGTGTCTGCTCCTCCTCAATTCTCATAATGGCCCTGTGGTGTGAGGAGGGGTGATCCTCCCTGTTTAACAGAAAGCACAGTCTTGACTGAGAGGAGGTGACCCCGGGTTAATTGTCCGTGAACTGCGGCACAAAAGCCAAGCCGCCAGCTGTCCCCCTCCTGGTCACCCAGGGCTGGGCCGTCCTTGGTGCGGGGCGGGCGGGGACAGAGCTCTGCCCCATGGGTGGTCCTCATGGTTCAGGTCAAAACTGTGGTAGATCTTACCTGACCCCTCGTGCCCTGGCGTGTGTCCTAATGGCTGTCCCTCCCCAGCGCCCCTGGGGTTTTCCTGGTAAAGACCAAAAGATGTTTTTGTCCTCTGAGCACAGGCCGTGTGGTCCCCTGACGTCATCCTTGCCAGGCAGGGTTCACTTCTCTGAGTCCTCGCAGAGCTTTTAGAGAACATGGAATCCTGGCTCTTCCTCGGGAGAGTCTGTCCGAGGTGACACAGCGTCCTGCACCTGCAGTTTGAGGCTACAAAGTCGTGTTTCTAGTCCACGGAGCTCTCCTGCTGGCTGCTTCTCTTTTGACTGTGATGTGCCAATGCGACTTCCTTAAAGGGTCTATGTATTCATTGTATCCAGGAAACTCCATAAACGCTGTAGGTGGATGATCCTCTTTTTAAACTAAACATTTTTCCATCACGAGTTGCAAGAATTGCTTGATTAATTAGACCTTCATTTTAAAATAATGGTTTTATCACTACACAGAATTACTCCCTTTATTTTATTCCCAAGGCTGATTAGCGTGGGGCAATCACTCTGCTTCAAAAATAGGCAATAAAAAAACATAAGTAAGTCTAGCTCTTGTAATTGGGAGCAAGAAAGAAACACGAAGAGCTGCATGATCAACAGTGTCTGCAGAGTCGGGAGCAGGTGCTTCCTGTCCGTCCCTAGGTTGGAGTCGCCCTCGGCAGCTCGGGCACAGACTGGGCCAATAGGTGCGTGGTGTCTGGAAACATGGCCCTGGAGGCAGGTTCTGGGTCGATGAGGGGAAGAACAGATGGCCAGGGCACGGTGGGCAGGGCAGGGGACCGATCCTGCCAATGTCCGCGCATCCCCCTGGTGCGCAACTCCCAGCTCGTCGACGTTCCGCCTGGGTCTCGCTGTCACTGTCCCTCCACTGCTGTTACAGACCCAAAAGGCCATAGGGCATAGCCCTCCCTGGTGCAGTGGGCACCTGGGGCGGTCCTGCAGATCCCCACCCGGGGGCCCCCGGGCTGCCCAGGAGTCTAGGTCCCCAAGGAGAGCTGCTCCTCTTGCCTTTTGATGAGCTGCAGCTGGACCCCACTCAGGAGCACGGCCCTCGGGATGCCAGGTCCACCCCGAACCATGGTCTTGGAGGTGAGGGCAGCCCTTCACTACGCCCTTGCACCCTCCAGGCACTTCTCTCTCTCCTTGGGGCGGACAGGGAGTGGGTCTGCTCTGTGCCCCCCTGGGAAGGTAGGGGACCCTAGCCCCCGCGGCAGATGCTGCGCCCAAGCTCCCCTCCTTCCCCAGCGGTGTTCAGGCCGGAGGGGCACTGCCTGTGCTTGGGGACAGCCCCCTGCGGGTGGCAGGAGGGACACGGGGGCCCCCGCGGCTTGGGCTGCTGCTGGTCAGCAGCCGTGGGGTTCATACGGGCTGAGGCCCCGACCCTGAGCGGGCACTGAGCCCGGGATCCCTTCCATCCCACCCCGCACCCCCTCCTCCCCTCTGGCTGGACAGATGGCTGTGCTGCATCCGTGACAGGCTCTCGAACAGTGCGGGAACTTGCCTGTCAGGGTGAAAATCATCAGGATATTGTCGCGATTAAACACTCCCGGGTCTAAGGCCCCCTGAGCACGACTTCTGTGTGTCCCTCTCCGCTTGGGTCAGCAGCACATGAGTCCAGGGCACCTGACAGGATTGTGCCCCTAGAAACTTTCAGAAATTTCTGAAAATGCTCTGTGGGCAGCTCTCAGGTGGCAGGAAGTCCATCAGCTCCCCCAGCACACCCCCGAAGGGCTGCCCCCCCAACCCCACTCTCCCCATGTGGATTCCCCCGGAGTGTCTGGGCCCCCAGCAACTGTGGACATGTGCTCCTGGGCCCTGGGGCTGGCCGTGGTGGGTCAGCGCCCAGAGAGGGGCTCCTGCAGCGCGGACACAGCTGCCCCCCGCATGGGTCTTGCAAGGAGTGGGGCTGGAGGGCCTGCGGGGAATCCACCCCTCCAACGCAGAGAGCAGCTGAACCAGGAGTCAGTAAGGGGGCTCGTGCAGGGTCCCCTCGCCATGCTGTAGGAGACGTTCCCTGGGGCCACAGACCAGGGGCGTGGGTGTGGCTGCACTTGCTCCTGACCAGGGATGCCTGAGTGGGGTGCCTGATGGCGCCGGGGGGGGGAGACCCCAGCCTGTCCCAATACCGCCTAGCTGCCAAGAAACAGGTGTCCACATAAAATGGGGAGGATGGGACCTTTCCTCCCGTCCTGCCCCGTGGGTGGAGCTGCTTGGGCCATGACCGCCAGGGAGCCAGCTGGCTGGTGTTAGAGCTTTTTTTAAACAATTCTTGTGTTTGAATGACAAATTCCCTCTGTCTCTGCGGAACCCCCACATGCGGCCAGGGGCTGGTGGCCCTGCTTTGGGTCACCTTTTATCTTCTCGTTCCCAGGGTCTCCCCTCACCTCATGCAGGTATCCGTGTCCAGGGTCAGGGTCAGGTGTCCCACACAGGCTCCGCAACAGAGCCGAGGACAACGTCCCTTCCAGTCTGTGGAAATGTCTGTGGTCTGAATACCCTGACACAGACCCGGGGGTGATGGGGGGCAGCTCCAAGAGCTGAAAATACCCCCGTGCCTCCGTGAGAGTCTGCCCCTGGGTGTGGAGCTTCTCCGCCATCAGATTTGTGGGGCTGGGATCAGTTGCTCCTTGGTTAAAGGCCTGATGACAGACGTGGGCATGACCCACACCTGCTCCCACTGTTGCCAGAATTTAAACAGTTGCTTTTTATGTAACATGTTGGTTGGGACTTTTCCATGGTCAAGGCCAACAAAACCCTTCATCCTGGAGAAGGTACGAGCCCTCCCTACCACACCCCTGGAAAACAAGCTTTGTAAGCTGTCAAGAGAAAGTAAGGGCAGTCTGAGGTCTCTGGCTGCGCAGTCAGCTTTGTGCACAGAGGGAACGTCCCAGGCAAGGGCCCTCCCTGCTCCCCCTCCAGAGTTCCCAGGATGGGAAGTCCTAGCGATCCACACGGACAGTCTTCCTTAGGAGCAGGAGCAAGGCCTTCCTTTGCTGCACCGTCAGCCAGGCAGCTCTGCTTTTCCAACTCAAATGTTCTAGTGGGGTTTTTCCTGGCCCTGGGGGCATCCCTGTCACCCCCAGAGGCCCCTTCTGAGCTGTAAAACACGTCCCAGGGCTTCTTCCACGTGCTTGGAGCAAAGATATGGGGGTACCCAGCAGGACGAGCTGAGGCTGAGCCTCTGCGAGCAGCTTCTTGGGAGCTTCTGCTGGTTCCGAGCACGGTGCCCCCTGGTCCGCTGCTGCCCGCCTGGAGTACTTGCTGGGTGAACACAAAAAGAGCCTGATGGCCAGAGAGGAAAGGGCTGCCGGCCAGGTGGGGCCAGGCCTGTGGGCAGAGGGAGGAGCGGCCAAGAGAAGGGCCAAGCAAGGCGAGGCCGGGAACATCCCGGATGCAGGGGAGGCCGACTGGGCAGAGGTCCCACAGGGCCGCGGGGTATTCCTGGGGTCCGGCCACAACCTCCCAAACAGCAGATAGAATCGGACTCTCACGTCCAGGAAGCACCCCCTTGAAAACGACCAAAACCAAGGACTTCCGGGGCTTTTACGAGTCCCTGGAGTCCCCCCCCCCCCGCCCCGAGACGTTTCTGGCATGTGGAGCCGAATGCTGCGTCCTTGTTCATTCCAACAGGCAAAGCAGGAGCGATGAGCTGAAAAGTTGTAAATAATAAATATGTTTATCTCACTATTTATTTTTTCAATAACTGTGACCTCCCGCACTGTGAATGCTCTGTGATATGACGCTCTTAGTTTAATAAAACTGTCATTAAATTTGAATGAATTGATAGTCATGGTTATTAAACCCTGGCATGAGTTTATTTTTATTGTGAAGAAAAATCTAGAGTCAAAATGAACTAAATCTTTATAAGAAATCTAGCAGTCAGTATTGTGATGCAATATATCAGAATCTGTACACCGTCAATAAAATACCTGGGCACAAGCTGTCGTTCCCTATATAGAGCTTCCATTCATGGTCTAGCAGACACACACACACACACACACCCGCACACTTGTATTTCGGGGAAGGACTCTACATTGGAATAACAACCACTTAAGACCATTTCTGTTGGCATATGGAGAAAAAACAAACTTCAGAAAGGATGAAGGATGGAGCTTTTTCATGATAATGATGGGTAATGGATAAAACAAAGCAAAATTTTGTGACTGATCTTGTTGGCTCTCTACAAGTGTCCAGAATGGCCCAAGCATTTCCTACCTGGTCAGTAGGGCCCCTCGATGGTCAGGGGACCCCACACAGTCAAAGGGCCTCACACTCAGGAGGGCCCCAGGCTCTGTGGTCACCATTTTGGATTCCTTAATAGCTTTTTGAAAAAGGAGCTCCATATTCTCATTTTTTGCACAAGGCCCTGCAAATTATGTAGCTGGTCCTGCTCACCTGGAGTAAGTTGGGCCAGAAGCTCCCGTGTTAATGAAAAATTGAGATGAGGAGGAGAGGTCCTGCTTAATTGCTCCGTTTAGTAAGTGTCCTGAGACCCGGCTCCCTCGGGGCACTTCCACGTGCCCATGAGTCACCTGTGCATCTGGTTAAAAAGCAGATTCTGGCTCAGCAGGCATGGGATGGGGCCAAAGATGCATTTCCAGCAAGTTCCCAGGTGATGCCAATGCTGCTGGGCTCCTGGGAGAAGTGAGGATACCCAGCAGTCCCCCTCAGCATACGACGGGGTCACCTGTGCAGGCTCCCAGATGGTCACCGACCTGCAACAGGGTGAGCGCAGGAGCAGAATGTAAGTATTTTATACTTAATAGCAATATGATGGATGATTTTATGTCTTAATCTGCTTTTTCATTATATTTTTCTATTGACTATAAAATATCCACCCACTGTGGATCACAATTTAAAAACCCTTGCGAGGGCCTGGCCCCAGCCAACAGCCACTCCTGGGTCTCCACTCCCCCTCCCCGACTCAGCCCCCTCCCAGCAGCCAGGGGACCTTCGCCAGCAGGAATTCAGATCTGCCCATCTCCTGCTGGCAAACAGTTAGTGACTCCCAGTTGCCCTAAAGGGCCGCTTCAGTCCCCCCACCATCATCACCTCTCTGTCTGCCTGTCCTCAGGCTGTTTCCTCTGCTCCCAGGGGGTCCTGCAGCAGCCAAGGAACCTCCACCTCTGCCTCCAAGGCCTCCCTAGACCTCCAGGCCAGAAGGAACCACCTGCCTTTGTTTTTTTGTTGTTTGTTTTTTTTGTTTTTTTCATCATCTTTTGTTGGTGAGACTGCTTTGTTATTATTTGGCAACTATGCAGTTTTCTGAAATAGTCTCCATTTGATACGCATTCACCCACGGCCCCCACCAACCATAGAAGGGCACCAAGTCGGGGTTGTCTAAACTTCATCTCCCAGAGGAGCCCTTAAAGCTGAGGGCACATTTTGTCACTCGTTGGTTTACTCATCAGATGCATGTTGAAGGCCTGCCCTGTGCCAAGCATCAAGCCAACTGCTGGTTGCAGAAATGGAGAGCCCACCTCCAGCTGCTCCAAGGAGCCCCCAGGTTCCAGGAGGGAGGGAGCTTAGTAGGCAGGAGCCCAGAGAAGGGCACCCAATCATACTGGGCGGCAGGGAAGACATAATTCATGCTGGGGCTCAGGCGACCAGGGGAGCCGGGGGTGGTGGTGGTGACATACACTTACGTACAAGACAGGAGTCACGTTAAGTCACGCCCAGTAGTTCTGATTTAAAAAGAGATGGTGAACAAGGGAAAAATAGGACTTGGAGATGCTCAAATATCCCCAAATAACTCAAGCTGGAAAACTCACAGGGCCCCCAAAGACATCCATGTCCTAGTGCCCGGAACCCGTGCGTGTGGCACCTTGTGTGGCACAGTGGACATTGCCGACAGGATCAAGTGAAGGGTCCTGGGCCCCAAGACCCTCCGGGATTGCACAGGTGACTGATGCAGCCACAGGGTCCTCATCAGAGGGAGGCAGGGGGGTCCGAGGGGAGCAGGGATATGATGACAGAGCAGAGGTCAGAAGGACGTGGGGCCATGAGCCAGGGAATTCCAGCAGCCTCCAGAAGCTGGAAGAGAGATGCCACAGTGTCCCTGGGGCCTCCAGAAGGAATTGGGCAGCTGGCTCCTTGGTTATCACCCGCAGAGACCCAGTTTGGCTTCCCAACCACCAGGACTGCAGGCTGACACGCCCGGGGTGCTCGGGGCCACGGACCTTGCGGTTGTTGCTCCTGCAGCTGTAGGAAACTCGAGCAAAGCCTGGGTCTGCCAGGGCCCTGGGGGTCACAGGGGTCATGGGGTCACGCTATGTGGAGCCACCAGGCTGCCAATCAGAACAGAGGCTGCTTTGCTTTCCTGCAGATGGAGGGGTGCTGGGACGGGGCCTGGGGCAAAGGGCGTCTGAAACCCAGGAAAGAAGTGACTAATGCTGACTGGGGGCGGGGCTATGTGCAGGTGCTGGGGCTCGCTGGGTGACCTAACCCCCAGGCCCCGGAGCCCATGGGCAAGAGAAAGGAGACATCCGGAGGGGAAGGCGGGAAGCCCAGGGGAGGAGCAGGTGTGGAGTCCCACATCGGCCTCCCGGAGACCCACCCCCTCCTCCCCCTGCTCATCACATGGGGCTGCTGAACCCCCGGGTGACGCGGTGGGTCCTGGCCCATGTCCAGTGACTGCCAGGAAGGCAGCTGGTGGTACGGGTGGAACAGACATCTTGCTGTCCTGGGGACCTGCATCTGGAATCCTTCCCCATAGCTCGCTCTCTAGGACACACGCTTGACCTGGCAGAGACACAGGCAGAGGGAGAAGCAGGCTCCCTGCAGGGAGCCCAATGTGGGACTCGATCCCAGGATGCCATACACCCTGAGCCGAAGGGAGATGCTCAACCATTGAGCCACCCAGGTGCCCCCACGCTTGACCTGTGAAGGTGAAATGCAGGCTCGGGAGTGCTGAAGATTGGCAGAGTCCAGTTAGGACAAGGAGAATTGAGGCAGGGATGAGGTTTCTCCCACAGCAGGGAGATGACGGGCTCCTCTGGAGTCTTGACCCTGGGGCGGGGAGGGACTCCAGCTGCTTTCTTGGGGATCCCTGCCCAGGAGGGAAAGCACCCCAGGGGAACGCTGTTGGGTACAAAGAGGGCTGAGGACTTTGGGGACAGCCTCTCTCTGGCCAAGTCCTGGTCAGGCTCCTCTGAATCCTCTTCTCCACGAGGCCCCGACCTTTGGGCCTCCATGGGGGCCTCTACCTTGTCCTATTGTAGGAGGAACCAGCTACATCAGACAGCAGCATCCCACACCCCCACATGTCACCCTCCACTTGTGATCGGGCTCCTTGGCCCCCCGACCCTGGGTGACGCTGACGCCCCTACCTGCCTCCAGCAAGAACCCTGATAGGTCAGTTTAGTTGGAATCCCCCATCCCCCTGGGTTTCCACCTGTCTGTTTCCCTGCTGCAGTGGTTGTCGCACCCAATCTCCCCCTTCCACGGTGATGACCCCTGCACCCACGGGATTGGTTATGACCCTCCTTGAATAACGTCTACCTTGTTCCTTAGCAAATGTCATGAGTAATTTTGTCTTTAAAGCTTGCCATACTCCACCCTGGGGGCCTCTGGGAGGAGAAGCATGTGCTCAGTGGTCAGGGCCAGCCGGGCCGGCCAGCAAGAGTCCAACGGCAGGCAGCCCAGCCAGGCCTGGAGAGATGCTTCTGGCAGGTGCAGGCTCCACACCACCTCCTGCGGGGCTGCTGATCTGGCCATTGGGCCAGGGAGCCAGGAGGTACTGGAGCCTCTGAGGCCACTGTAGGGCTGGGGCGGCTGGGGGGCCGGGACCATCCGGATGGCACTAAAAGCCCTGGTAAACCCAGTGGGCTGTGGCAAAGTGCAACCCTGGTCACTCCGGGTGACTGTGCAGCCATGGAGGTCATGCCTTGAGTGTCCTGTTCTGCTGCTGCCGCCTTGAAACCTGCAGGACTCTTTGAGCAAAGGGATCACATGTCATTTTGCAGCGGGTCCCACACGTCACGTACCTTCCCTGCCCTCAGCTGAGAGCTCCATGAGGCCACGGCCTGCAGGGCCCGCGTCTGCGGCAAGAGCACCTGGGCGCATAGATGCTGCTCTTCCCTCTGGGTCCTTGGAGGGAGGACCATCCGTCTCAGGCGGCATTCATTACTGGCGGTCGGATGGAACCCAGACTTCCCAGATGCACCTGCCTCTCGGCACCCCTGTTGTGCGCAGGGCACAAGGTGGAAGGCCCTGCACAGCCCGGAGCAGGGTGTCTGTTCTGCTTTTATATAAAACCAATAAAGGAAAACTTTTTTTTTTTAAGGAAAACATTTTTAAAAATATAGCAATGGAGGGAAACCAGATTCAACACAAGCCTACTAAACAGATGCATTGGGCACGTTCCATGTCATGTACACCAGTGGAGTGACATGGGTTGGCCTCCAGCCACCTTGCAGAAGAGGATGGGGCCCGGGGGTAAGAGTCTGGTCCTAGGTCCCAGGGAGGTGAGTGAGCCAACCCTATGACACTGCAGGGTTCGTGGTAGCTAGAGCATCATCATCGTCTGACCCCCTGCCCCAAGACCCCTGCCAGGCCGCCCAGTGCAGCATCCACCTGCTGTGGCGGCAGGAGCCAGGCCCGGAGGACCCAGGAATACCGGCGCCTGCTCACACAAGGGTCCCTGTGGCTGACCCTCCCACTGCTACCCCAGAGTCTTAAAGGAGATCCCCCCCCCCGGGTCTTCACGCAGGAAGGAGGCCCCGGGACACCACACTCAGTGTTCACAGGAAGTGAGGAGCCCCCAAAGGGAGAAGTG